TAGATAGATAGATAGATAGATAGATAGATAGATAGATAGATAGATAACATGCAGTATAAATATGGGTTAGGTTTGCAAATGGAAATAAAAAAATGTCTAAATGTGACAAAAATAAACAAGGATTAGTTTTCCATCACAGATATGCACACACACACACACATCTGTTTGAATTGAATTCAGCCGGCCCAGCACAGGGTGAAGCTGGACAGTATCTTAAGACAAAACGCCACTCCTGCCTCCTAGTGTCTGAAAGCGCCATCATTCCCAACTCATGTCGGTTTAAAAAAAAAAAACAGGACAATATTGCTCACTACTCAACAAACTGACAGGCCCTGCCGTGGCCTTTGGAACCTACACACTAATCAGACTGGTAACGCTTCTAAAAAAGAGACATCGAAAACACATTCAAAACCTACACATTAAAGGACTTAAAGATTTGCAGCCCACATTAAAAGCCTGGTGGAATTTTAGACTTAACCGAAGATGACAGAAAATAACAGATTTGCAAAGACAAAGGAGGCCAGTTCTGTCACACTTTCTCAGCTATCAGTGTTCCAGGAAAACGCCCTATAACCCGCCCGCCGTGTGGTCGATAAGTTGACATTTTTTAACAATCAAACTAAAACTGCGGCATTTGTGCAGCCGAGAAACAGAGAAGTCAAGATGAGAATTTATCAGTAATAATTAAAAAAGCACAAAAGGCCGATGACATGTAAAAAGCTGATGAAAGCTTTAGCTGATGTCTCACTGTCCACTGCTTCAACTACAGACCCCCCCCCCTACTGAAACAAATCCATATACAGTATCAGTGAGATCCTCATCCAGAGGGAGTCTGACAGGAAGCCCCTTCCTGCTGCTCCACACAGACAGAGAGAACCAGATGGAGAAAGAGGAGACAGGGAGAGAAGGGAGGACCGTCTCCCTGGGACCTGCGTCCCGGGGACATAGCACCCATCATTAAATATGACATCAGAGCAGGGAGGGCCTTCATGCAACGTAGATCCTCCATGATGCTGGAGGCCAGCTGAGTATAAATGCCTTAAGCCCGGAGCCCTGAAAGCAGCAGCTGCCATTCTGACAGGCAGACGGACTCAACCACTAAGGATATACGAGCACCACACCGGGACGGCAGCCTCCGAACTCCCCCTACTGTTTCTTTGGAGCGTAAACCTTTAAGGTAAGTGGCCTGCTTCCAGTCAAGTGCATGTGGGGAAACCCCCGCTGCAGGCCGGCTCTGGGTGTCGGGGAGATGGGGGCAGTGGATATTGTGCACAAGCTGAGGTTAGACTGGGATAGAAACTGTGCCTGTGACTCTGTAGACTAGATCAGAGTTTGGCCAGCAGCTTGTCTTTATTGTGAGCAGGTTCTAAACAAAACATCTTAATTCATAAAATTAAAGTTGGGCAACTTTGCTGCCGACTTTGGGCATTGGAACTGGAATAGTCTGCAGATATCTATAGAGTGGCTCAAAACTTCTACTACTACTTCTACTACAATGTGATTCTTTTGTCTATCACCTGCTCTGGAATAATACCATAAACTTCTTCTCATTGTTTTGTTTCTTTGTTTTTCTTTGAAGGTTTAGCTTCACAAGATGGACTTGAGGGTAACAAGCGTTCTTCTCGTCCTCCTGGCTTTGGCCCAGGCAACCCCCCACTATTCACCCAAAGTGGCCAAGACGCCCTACCCCGTCAAGAGCCACGGTGAGTAGCCTTTCCACAGCAATCTTTACACTTAGTTATCTTGGAGAGTCAGGGTGGGGACGAGTATTACAGTTAAAGCAGCGCTTACAAGTGTAATGTCACTACATAATGTTGAAAATAAGCCGAGCTTTGCCTCTGAAATCACTGCAAGCTGTTCTGCATAACTGTGCAAACTCCACACTCCACTAAGTTCTTTTTAAAAACTCACAAATCAAATTACCAAATAGAACAGCTAAGACGTGGCAGCAGACAGCTGGTGATGTGCTGCTAATTGCTGCGTGTTCTTACCTTCTATTTAAAAGAGAAAATAGTCAAAAAGGGGACGAATGGTTCTGGGTATGTCCATACTGGTGTGCAGTTGCCTCACTTCTGCTGCCTAACTAAGCCATAAAACACCTAATCCACATGATGCAGGTGGTCTACAGGGGACCTAACATTGGTTCAGACGTTAGAGGGAAAGTTTGTGACCGGTTAGCTGTCAAACTAATCATAAAATCAAAACTCAGTAACCCCAACAGCCAGCATGGAGCCTGGACACAGCACACTTTTTATACCTGCAGAAAACGTGGTAATTAACAGAAATTTAACATCTCCAGCGTTATTGCCACCATCAGCAGCGCTCTGACCATTAGCTTAATATCCCCTGACTCCGCAGTAAATGAAGGCTGTCGCGCTCCATCATTAAGGGCCATCAGGCCGGTCCACTGGCTGGTTGTGTGTGTGTGTGTCACAGAGCATGACGGTGAGGCGGGGCACCGCTGTAAAGGAGCTCCTGTGCAGTGGATAAATAGGTTACCATAGTTACAGAAGTTACACCAGTTACAATAACACAAATGACAAAAAGGTGCTCATGAGGTTAATGCACATTAGTGTAGAAACATTTCAGTTCACACTCCAAATAGAAAATTAGAATTAGAATTCCTTTTTTGTATTATTCGATATGAACTCCTTCTGATGTTTGTGTACGTTTACTATAGTCCCATTTCTATTTAGATTGCAGAAATAAAAACAATGGCTGGTCAAATCTGTCAAATATCCAAAACAGATGCTAGCACCACGTTGCAGGCACACCCTCACCGACTGCCTTGCGGTTCCAAAATCACTCCACACAATTAGAGAGGAATGAAGAAAACAGAAGCTGCAGAGAAAAGCTCTCACAAGTTCAAACAGTGAATCTCATAAACAAACCACGCTTATTTACTGGAGCTGCACTCCGTGAGGCTCGGTTTTTCCACTGTAAAACTAAATGAAGCCCAATCTGATTCAGACCGAGGGTTATTTACTCAGGCATCTTAACAGTGCATGAGGCGGGACTCAACAGTCCACCGACACGAAGCCCAGCTCCACAGTCAGCCACTGTGGACAGAGCTGTCACCTTCACTTTGCGGCGGGA